TTAAATTCACTGTTCCGAGTATGTTCATGGGGGAATAGGGTTTTAGCTTGCTGCTTTCTGTGATGCCAAGAGAGCCCCCTTTCAAAGTTGGTCGGAAACCCACCCCTTCAAAAATGGAATTGGAAGACTAGACAAATGGAATTGGGGACCCTCCCACCCCCCCCTTCCCCTTAAGGTAGGGGAGATTTGGTCGGAAACCCATTGAAGCCCAACTCAAAGGCTGAATGTATGCGCCCATTTGCACCCAGCTGTGAAATCTTGATTTTCAGCGGCAGCCTTTGGCCAAGACGAAAACACGTGGCAAAGGGCTTGTGCCAAAGTGGGCTGCATGCTGATGCTGGAAGGTTGATTTCGAGGCTTGGGCTGTTCCGAGGCCATCCTCATCCTTTACGTTCTATGCCACTTTTGTTTGGTCATCCCCTGTACCCACAATACTTCTGCCATCAACTTCTGAGGGAGACGCCTGAGGCAACTCGAGGGCGAGAGCTGAGAACCATCGCGAGATCAGGTGCAGTCAGGTGTTTCAGCCGCTCCAGGCTATGTGCACCGACCTTGGCCCATGGCCTTGTGGCTCAACCAGGATAGATCCATGCATTGGCTGACCCATTCTGCAAAGCCCCTTGCAGAGGTCAGCATTTCGAGGCTAAAGGCCCTACAGTTCTGGGGTAGAAGTTTGAAAAGCAAAGTATGGTATTCATTGAGGCTGTGAATGCTGGCATTGGTAGCGCTTGTTTGATATTAGTTTTCTTTGTCCGTGGTTTCGGTGATTCGGAGTTTAGTGGGTGTTTCCTCCTTGGTTTCAACCAAGGGCCGGGGGTTGTTTAACTCCCAAACCGCCAATCCGAAAACCAGCAAACACTTGCCATGCTGCTTCACGGGATGTCTTAAGGGCCCCTTTGGCAGTTTGAGATGGGCTCCCCGGGTTCAGGAGATGCAACAACGGACCCGGAAACTCTTCGATCAGCACCCCGAGAAGATTCTACGTTCTGTCCAATGGCAGGAGGCCTCTTCCAAACTCCTTTTCGTCGGCTTCCAAGGTTCTTGGAAAGAGAGTAACGGGACTTGTAGCCACCCGGTTCCCAGCAAAAACGCCTTGCTGGCTCTCATGGCAAGTTGGGAATAGCCCTACGCGCAACCATAGCGATGTCAATTTGTTCCCAGTTGTCCGGTGGACCCCAACCATAGCGATGTCAATTTGTTCCCAGTTGTCCAGTGGACCCCTTTATCTTGTGAGTTGGCAGGTTTTCCTTTAACATCATCCAGCCGCAAAGGGAGCCATTATGCTCTTGACCACTGGGCTTAATAGAAGTGATTTCCACTTGTTTTACTCCACTTTTAGTTGTGCTTTTCTCCCTGTTGGTTTGCAATGGTCATGCCCATGACTACTTGCTTTTCCTGCTTATACCCCCTTTTATAGTGGCTACATGGGTGTGTCCGTTTTTGAGGCTACTTCTTTTGGTTTTACGAGGAAGCCCAAAAGGGAACATCACCATTTTGAGGGGCCGCTAAAAGACGCGCCGATATAGTGGTGAAGCTACATACCTATGTTTCCCCTTCAGGCCAGCTTGGGTTGGTGCCAATGAATCGCCGCTTTGAGACAAGGAAGGAAGCTTGCGAAAGGGTCGAATCTGAAACACTACTTGTTGCTTTGGTCGCAACCATCTTACTAAAATGGTCATGGAGGAACCGTCAATTGGCTAGTAACCCTGGTTGCAAGAATTTGAAAAGGGCTTGCAAGGGGGGGAAGGCTGAGCTTGGACCACTTCGCCAGCTTGGCCATCATCTCACTCTCGAAAGTTCCTGGTTTCGCCCTGGGAAAGACAATTTTAGTGGCAAAGAGCTCGCTTGAGTCCAAGGCATCCCGGTGTTCCCTCGCCACGGATTCTGCAGGGAAGCTGTCGCGGGTCCTTGCAAAGCAATGGTCTGAGGTCACGGAGCAGGCCGGAATGCGACCCAAAAAAACGCTGACCCCCAAAAAGAAGAGGGTGCCCTTTTTTCCCACTGGGCTTCTGAGATTTGAAGGGTTTTTCAAATAGTTTGGGGGAACCCCGCGGAGCTAAAAGGGCTTGATTTAATTAGAATCCGGTTGCGGAGGCGCTTAAACACCAATTCTGGCCCTGATCATTAGAGAACCACGTGCCGTTTTGTAGCTAGACCGGCTTCCCCATCTTTGCTTTCATTTATTTGCCTGTTCACTTCGCAAACTTTCACTTGCTGGCCGGTTTGGCAGCTTAGGTCGGCTAAGGGCAGGTGTTTGGGGATGCATTGGAAAGCACTAGCCCCGGTGAGTCGTGGAAAGATGATCAACACTTTGGAGCAGAATCGACTGGCTGATTTCTGCAGCAACCATATGTTTAGTCTACCCAAAGGGAAGCCAAAGGGATTTGGGTCGTGTTTTGTTGTTGTTGCGGACCTAAGGAAGGTTTCGCAAGCGGTTTCCTTTGGTTGGCAAATTTCCCCAGGAGCTGGTTTCCACCCCCTGGAACGCCCCCCGGTTTCTTCCAGATTCCTTCTGAAGGAATCTTCTGGTTTCCGAAGCATGTCCTCAGAGGTGCTGAACGGTTCTTGGTAATATGTTATTTGTTTTTCGGGAGGAGGGATAAGCACCAAGTCGCTAAAGCAAGACTCCTCTTCAACTGGCAGAAAAGGGTGACGTTTAGATGAGCCAAGGGGATTGTTCAGAGCTGCCCTGATGGAATCGGCAGAGGTGCCTGGAGATCTCCATTTTCTCGCGCTCCAGTTTTGTTTATTGACTACCTATTCAGTGATCTGGACTTTTTCTGAACAATCTACTCAGGTGAAACCCAGCATTTGGCACCTTTTCAGGGTGATTCCGTGTGTGGCCGCTTGAAAACCGTTCTACCTGCGCGGTTGGCAAATTTAGCAAACGTTTGGGTTCAATGCAAATAATCTAGTTGAAGGGTTTCTTGGTTCGGTCCCCGCCCCCCCCCCCCCAGACAGGCGGCCTCTTTGTAAGCCTCTTAAAGCCTCACAGCAGGAAACTGGGCACCATAGAGGGCTCGGGAGCGGTGGGCTGGGCGTTGCCTCTTTGTTTCCTGGGCACTTGGAGGCTACTTAGTGCACCGGAACACAATGACTTCCGCTACCAACGGGTATGTTCCTGATTCATTTGGGGGTAGTGACGTGATGTGGGGGTGGTGGAAGCCGTGGTGGTGGATCCAGGCAACCGGATTTTCCCTCTATGAATCTTGTTCATTGGAGTGAACCATCGCCAGGAAGTGGAGAAGCGACGGCTGGTGCAGCAGGAAGCACGGGGCGTGCCTGCTTCCTTTGTTTCTTCAGGTTCCCTAGAAGGGTCTCCCTTTTCCACCAGCCACCGGGCAAGGGACCCATCCAAAGGGGTAGCAAAACACAGACTTTTCGTTGTCAAATGTTCGCTCCTTCCCCCGTGTTGAGAGGTCCCTTTCTGTGCACAGGCTCAGCAGCCTAGGCCAAGACAGTGATGGCAAACGTCTCAGTCGAAAATTGGTTTGGGCAAGAAGGGTGATCCTGCTTGAGAAAACCTTGACTGATTACTTACCTGTATAGATAGCGTTTCCAAACTGCAAATGTACGTGTTTTCTAGATTTGCACTGCACACCAAGTACTGGCACCTGGCAAAGTTGGCTAGATTCTGTAAAATATCAGGGTTGCCCCTTCGAGACCTGTTTGGAAACATACACGCCCGAAAGCTTGGACTTCTTCCTGCCTTATTTGCCTCCTAGACATGCTCTGTTCCGTTCAGCCTGAGGTGGCTCTAGAGCAGGTGAGTGCACAGCTGCATTACCCCCAAAAGGCCTTGAGCGCGTATCCTCAACTTGTCTGGGCTTATCCCGTGAGCCCCAAAAGACCCGGGTCCATGATTCAGAATGATTCATGCCCAACGTCGCGCATGGTGCGCAGAACCTTCGAAACGGAAAGTCTTGCAAATGGGGTTTGCGCACGTCGTTTGCTGGTTAGTCATTTGGCTGTGGGTCAAAACCAATGGTACCATTTTGGGGTAGGCGCACCACCCATTTTAGAACCTATTTTAGTGGGGATTGGGATGTTCACTGGGGGTACGGGAATTTGGAGTTAGTGCAACCCCGCTGAGCATCGCAAGGGAGTCCCATGTTTAAACATCTTGCCGGGGTTCCCTGAATGGAACGTGTACATCACCAGGGAACCCGCTGAGTATCAGTTAGGGGTTGGGGATTTAACGTTTTGGTGATTTGCTTGGGCCAAGTCTGCTTGCCCACATCTTGCCCAGATTTCCCCGGGGTTCCCTAAAGGAATGAACTAGCAACAAAAAGGCACCCTTTAGACCACACACACACACAGGCATGTAAACATACTTGGAAATAAAGCAAAATCAACTATATACTTGGAGCAAAAGCCCTTTCCCTGCTCTTTTTTATGTGTTGGACACTCACTGGCCACCACCAAAGCCGAAATGAGTCGAGCTTTGGGATGTTTCGCGGGGTGCGGCTTGAGGCTGGGTCTTGGCCCTCCGGACCTCCGGACCCGGGAGCATAGACTTTGATGGGCGGTTTTGCCATCTACGGCTCGGTGAAAGTCGATGTCATATCCTCCCCAATACTTTTGCCCGTCTTACACGGGTGCTTTTTTTTGTTTCTGTTTGTTTTTTTGACCCTATTTGAATTGGGTGCTCTTTGCCCGATCTCTCTTTCACCCTACTTGAATTGCAAGATGGCATGGAAGCCACTGCTCCCTGGTCATCATCGCATACCCCGCAACAAAACAGAAAGGCACATGTGAAAGCCGTTCTCTTGTTTCTTTCAGCGGCACCCCGAGTGTACAGAATGATCCCAGTTGCCCAGTCGTACCATTTTTCCCTGTACCTTTTGGGAAGGGTTCCCCTCTTTCCAGCCAACCAGCCCCCCCCCCAAAAAAAAAGAGGGACAAACAAGCCCGATGTCTTTTTTCCCATGGAAAAATCCACTGGGCATCTGAGTGATTGGCCTTGGGCTGGGGGATTCGTTGGATGCATCTCGGCCCGCAGCGCTTTGTGCGAGCGAGTTCGGGACCCTCGAGCCTGGGCCATGTCGGCCGCTGCGCAGAAGATGGGAGGAGTGCGTGGGGAACCCCCGGGAAGGGCTAAACCTTCACTGTTCTTGGCGTTTTTTTTTTGTTTCCGGTTTTTTGGTTTTTCCGTTTTTTAGTTTTTCCGTTTTTTAGTTTTTCTGTTTTTTAGTCTGTTTTTCGTTTTTTTGTTTTTTTTTTTGTTTTTTTGGTTCTGTTCATGTTTACTGGGGGGGGGTCTGCAAAAAACTTTAAGTTTTTTGGCTGCCATGCCAAGAGTAGAGATGGTTACCATTGTGTGTGTGCGTGTGCCTGCCTGCGCGGGCGTGTGTTCGCATAAGGATAGGTTTGGAAAGGCTGGTTTCAAGGGAAGCCCAAAAGGAAACCGTCATTTCGGGGGGTAATTACCTCTCTTTCAGATGCCCAAGTTCACCACTTCCCCCCAACAAATATTGTGGCCCCCAGGCCATCCTTACAGGATCCAAGTCGGTCCTTTGGGGCCTTTGGCACGCCACTTCGCAGGGAGATGAATAGCTTTGCGAACTCGGCTTCCAAGTTCTCCATCCACAGGTTGTTGTGTTCCATCATTTGGGTTAAGATCCAACATGATCCAACCAAGATTGCTCATTCTGGCTAGTCAAGTGAGGTTGCTGTGTGAACGCAAACCGAACCAAACGGAGGTTGATTTTACTTGCGCACAGTGACTTGACATTGTGGACATTATCAGTTTGCTTGTTATGGTGCGTTTGGGTCAAGGTTCGCCAATACAAACATCTTACTTGTGGGTCCCTCGGGCGAGTAAAGTGTTTGTGAAAAAGGTTTGGGGTGCGGTGGGTCGCCACATTTTTGCAAGTAAGGAGCAAGGGATCCCTTGTGGAGGTCCCCGACGGGTCCATGATTGCTGTGGCAATAGTTGAGGAACCAATCGTACCCCCCATAAACCCTTGCCCTGTGAGCTTATACGACATGTATTGGTTCATGGTAGGTGTAATAATCCTCCTTACTGTCAGAATCCTACCTGAAAAATAGCTGGAGGACTACTGGCTTTCAAGCTACAAGACTGATTTGCTTTGACACTACGTGGGCTAGACGTGTCCCCAGGTGTTTTGAGCCTGAGCCGAGCGTGCGAATCCCAAACAAATGCCAATGAGAGCAACCAAAGCAGGCAACGAAGAAGTCGGACCTTTGTCATTGCCATGTTGTGCCAGTTCACACGGTCGCCCGTGTATTATTTGCAACGTCGGCCAAAATGGTTCGCGGGGGAATCCCCTTCGATCAGAACCCCCCGAGAAGGTTTGTTGGAAACCTTTTGGGTGGGGAGGGGCCTTTAGTTTCCTCCCTAGTCAGTGTTTGCGTTGGCTTTCCCTCTGTGAGGTAGGGCAGGAACCTCACTTCATGAATTCTCGCTGTTTTCGTGATAAGAGTATCCCTGACACACAAGCTGTTGCCTTTCGACTTTACCAGAAGCAAGCCTACTGGCTTAGTGATGGGAAGATACTTCTGTCCCCGACAAGCAAGAGGCCCCAGTTGGACAGATGCAAACAAGTGTTGGGATGTTTGCTTGCATGAGGAATGGCAACACAAACAACTTGAAAAGGGTAGTATATGAGGGCTTTTTGGGGGGGAGCGAGGGTGAGGGGGGGCTTTCGAGAAATGCCCCTTTGAGGACTTCCCTGTTCGGCTTTCCTTTGTCAATGTATTGGAATCTTTTACGCATAGGGAGAACTGAATGATTGTAAGCATTGCGGACATGCGAAGAGCTGGAGAAACATATCCGAGTGGGAGCTAGCTTCGCCATAGGTAACCAAACAAGGCCGTGTGACAGCCACGAGGTACATATTCTTACCAACCGGGTACGGGTGCTCCTTATACATAAGGTGTGCTTGACCCGTTTCAGGGTAAATTGTGGCTTTCCCATGGCCATTTCACAGAGAAGGGCCTTTGCCTTTTAAAAAAGTTGGCACTGACCGATGTCTGGATACCTCATCCATTGGATACTGTGGATGGACAAATTCCTGCATCATTTTGAACCATGGGAAACCATTGTTCGTTGGTATTTACAGGGGAGTCATCATTCCAGGGTTTCTTAGGTGGTGGCGGATTTCGTCCATCCACAGTATGTCCGGATGGCATCAGGTTGCGTCGGCGCTGGCGGGTCACGACCCTGAGTTGTTGCTGTCTATTTTGCACGAGCTCAGGCAGGCCATGGGGCAATGAGAGCTGCCTTCGGAAGGGACCAGGGGCTGGTTGCAACGTTGAAACAGTGATATGCATCCGAATCCATAGATGCATATGGGTGTGGCTCAAAATTAAACAAGAGGGGTTACGCAGGTTTTGGTCCATGGTTCCACTTACCAGGAATCATTTTGGTACCGGTTTTTTGAGCCACAGCCATCTTTTTTTTTTTTTTTTTGGTGTGTGCAGCCCACCAACATGGAACCAGGTTTGTCTTTTCTTCGGCCTTTTTCTACGGATCCCCTCGAGCACACTACCCCCCAGACCCTGGCAAGGAGTAAAGCAGATCCGGTGAGGTTGGGGGGGGATAGTGGTACCGTGAGTTGTATGGCTTTCGGACGGCCCTCCAAGCCTGACCAACGGGCCTGAAGTGTAAGAGGGACTTTCAGCTGAGGGCGGCTCTCAGGAAGTGAGGAGAGGGGTTCCTTGAGACTGGTTTGGTCCCCTTTGTTGGCGGAAACGGCTCAAAACAAGCTCTTTGCGGAAGGTCCTTTGCTTGGGGACTTATTGGAGGAAGTTGTAGTAGTTTGCTTAGATACACTTTTGCTGGTCAGGACCAATGATCAAATTATCATAACGAACATTTCCAGCTTAGACACTCTGGCAAGTGAGGCTTTGCCCATGTCACGTTCGATTTGGTAGCAGGTTCCACTTGCATTGGATGGGAGCACAGCACGGCCTCCACAAGGCTTCGTAAGCGCCCAAGATCAGACTTTGAACCTTGGACGTCCTTCCACGGCAATGCTGTTGACGAGGCAGCCGAGCCATATGTGCAAACCCAGCAGCTGATGCATAAGCTCAAGCAGAGGCTAAGCAACCAAATCCCTTTTCCGTAGGCGGCCCAACCCTTCATTGTAGCGCCTCACAAGGGGATGAGCCCAATCGTTTGTCCTTTGGTGGGGGCAAAACCGCTAGGATCACACTGGGAGAGGCACATATCTGAGCTAGTTCCAACAAATTCCTGGATCTTGCATTGTCATGCTTATTTCTGCCCCTTCCGAATTTGTGTTACATATCCCAGATTTTCGCTCATTTCTGGAAAATTTGCTCGGTCAGAATTGGTCAGCGACACAGGAAAACTAGCTTGATAGTTTGAGCTGCGTTGCGCATTGCAAAGCAGGAGGGAGATTGCAGGCTGCACCCGGGCCAATTGTCTTCTTTCCATCTCATGTTCAGTGGCCTTTGTTGGGCGCGCGGCATGCAAATTTCAGCCTCTCGCCCGGAAACGACTCGTTCAGGATTGGGTGATTGCGCAACAGCCAACGAGGCCAATCTCTGCAACATCGCTCCACAGCTGTTTCGCCAGAGAAAACATTCGTGCCTGAAAATGGCATGTGCGCTCGGTTGCGGTGTCTTGCGCTCGGGTTGCGGCAATTTGCGCTCGCTTTTTGCGGCGATTTCCGTGCGGTTTTGCTGCAAAGCAAACGTCATTGTCCGAACAGGACAGGTTGCCCAAGTTTCTTCTTCTTGTCTTCCACCCCATGAGGTGGCGCTTAGTACCCAAGCACGGGGTTCCAAGCGGTCGAAGTGTGGGATTTGCAGTCCCACAAACTGTGTCTCGAAGAGACTGCAACTCACAATGCCGGTGACTTGGTCACAGTCCATGCAGGCATTGCAACTGGTGTGGCAAGTATGTTGTGGAAACAAAGCTGCATGTCTTCAACAGGCAGGTATCAGTTGTGGGGCGCTTGCGCTGCTCAGGCATTGGGTGGCTTTACCCCTTGGCCTGGACGCACGTCATATGCAGTAGACACTGCATGCGTGCAAAATTTATTTCGTTCTTGATCACGGATTTTTGCATTGGGCGCAGTGGTGCCAATTTGCCTTAGACACGCGTAGCGCCTGCACAAATTTGCGTCATGAATCGCCCTATTCTGCGCCATCCATTTGCGTTTGTCGCGCCACAAATGCTGCACACTAGCTCGACATCCAATGATTGTGGGATTGTCACTTTGTGATGACCCTGGGCCTCTGAAGCTGTTGTGTTCGGCGATTTTTAGCGGTTGAGCAAGTTTCTGGACAGCAGGCCCCAGTTACTGTGTGGCCAAGCTTTGCGACCAAGGCAATTGGAATTCAAGGTAGTTTGAAGGGCCTGCGCTAAATTTAAGAGCAGCCATGCGAAACAGGTGTCTTTACCCCTGTTCCGGTGCATGGGTGTGTGTGGCGTTTTCCCAAGCAACGTGCTCCATCACCTCCTAAGTACATATGTTAAGAAGGGCCTAGACACTCAGTACTTTGTCAGGAGTTCCGCTCGAATGCCTCGAATCGGGGAAATATCACGAACCCGCCAAAACAGTGACAACTGCCTAAAGGTCAAAAAGTATCTGATGAGGCTCTAGGTTTTTGTGTCACGCCATGTTGCGTCATGGTGCAGCCGCTGAAATCCTTTTGGGCGCCGAAAACGTCGCCGCAGGCTGCGGGGCCACGAGGCGCCTGCGACGCCGACACCGTCCACGGCCTCCACCGCCACCTCGCCCAGCGCCATCGGCCCGAAGCACCTGGCGCTGGCGGACTTGCTGAAGCCCAGGCCGAAGCGAAACGGCGGAAGGAAGGGTTCCGGAAGGAGGCAGCCCGAAACCAGAAAGTCCATAACACCGGACACCAAGAAAATATGTGTTCCCAAAAGTTGGCAAAAGTGGTTTTGTTGTGGGCAAGATCAGGGGTTAACATGTGAGCAACGTTCTACAACCCCCTGTCGTGAATATTGCTGCTTCCTAGGCCTGAAAGGGTTCGCGAAAGGGGTTTATCATTTGCGCGCGAACGGTGCGCGAAAGCGGCATGTTCGCTTACGAAATTGTAATTAGTTGTCTTGTGTCCGCGAAAGCCAATACACACTTGAAGCCCATTTCACTTTCTCAATCTGCAAAAGCAACGTGAAAGCGACAGCGACAGCCTCATCAAAGCCTTGCGTGAGAGGAAAGCTCCGCGAAGGCGTTCGTGAAAGGGAGTTGGTATTTTCTTTGCGGCCGCTGGGTTAGAACGCTAGAAGCATCCTGTAAACCAACCTGAAGCACCCAACACACACATATATATATATATAGAGGTATATATTGCGCTCCCACCGTGGATGAACAAAATCCGCTTCTCCAAATGGTCAGCCTATTACTCTCTGGCCCTCGGGTAGGCACTTCTCAACCCTTGCCTTGTTCATAGGCATGTTTAATGTATGTTTAAGCCTCAAACGAATAAACAAGTTGTTTTGGCCAACATCCTGGTGACCGGTGGTGTGATTAGAAACGGGGCTGCGTCGTTTTGCTGGAGACCAACAAAACCACGCGCTGTGCTAGTCGTGACATGACACCTACAATTGTGAAAGGACTCTGCTTCGTAGAGTTCTTAGATAGCACTCACCACTGCAAAGCAATACCCTCAAAGGAAGATGGGACGTAGAGGGTGGCTATGCTTTCATGATAAACGCTTTGCCTTTGGAGACAGTAGTGGAAACTTTCCAGGAATTTGCTTTCCCTGGTTTTTCCCGGGTTTGATCCTGTCGGTGGACAAAACTTGGTGTGCCTCCAGGTTTTTGTTGCTGAATGTTCAATTGCGTCCCCCATGCCTCCCAGTTGAAAGCAGCTCAGCCTAACTGCACAGGGTGAATCGACCTGCGGGAAGGCAGGGTCATCAGAAGTTCCTCAGAAAAGCCCGAGATACCAGACATAGCACGCGTGAGGAATCGATCGAGTTGGAGGATTGCCTTCCAAAAGGCGGGTTGTAAGCCAACTCAAACAGCACCAGCCCCCATTTCGTGGCTGGTCTTTGGTGTGACTCTGGCCCCTTGGCCTGTGTTGGAAAGAAGTCGCTTTTCCATCAAATCTACAAAATATTCGACATTTTGCTCGGAGAGAAGAGCAACCCAAGTGGCCTTTGCTTCTTGGGCTGCAGCGAATCAGCTGGTACTTTCAAGCCTTTTGGCTGAGCATCCTGTGGTCAACCCCAAAACAAAACTGGTTCTGTTTTGCAGCCGGGGCTTGGAAGAAGAAAACCTCACAGGCCTTTGTCGGGCAGTTTGTTTCAGCATGACCCTGTTAGGCCCGAGCATGAGCGCGCACATTGGCGGGTGGTGAGCCCTCAGTCCAAGTTCCGCGCCAGCTGCGGGTTCCCACTGGTGTCCCCAAGTATGCAGCTAGGCGCCGCCGAGCGTTGGCGGGTTTCCCTTCTTCCATATTCTCAGTGACGGCTGTGTGTTCGTTTTTGTCTGCTGGGCTCGTCTGTAACAATCATTGAATAAACCCTGCCGTTGATGTTCAATTATTTTGTTCTCCCCTATTCCCAGCTGCTCAGTGGATTCCACCCGTTTGTCTCCACTGAAGTGAAGCGGCTGCGAAGCTTTGCCATTGACACTCATAGAAAAGGTGGGTAGACCCAGCTTAGTGAATTCCACGCTGCAGATCGTGGTCTGGTGAAAAGGTAATGCTCGAACTGACACAACAACTTTCTCGAACGCCCTTGCCCAATCCCAGGGTGCAAAAGCAGATGTTCAGATTCCAGATTCTGATCATTATGTCAAGCAATTTTGAAATAAGTTCCTGTGGAGACCCCAGTTCATGCAAAGGCCTTTAAAATGGCAACGCAGCCATAAGGATGGTGCACCTTGGGTATCACAAGTGTTGCTTTTGCTGTAATCCCTTTTGGTTTGGTGGGTTACCTTCTAAGCGGGTTAATCCAAAATGTTCTTTCCAAGGGAAGGGGTCTGTGTGATTTCAATCAAGTGAAACGGGAAACATCCAGCCGCTTCCAGAATCTCAGATTTATTTCTTGCAGACTCCGCCTCAGGAAACGGCCAACCCCAGTGAATCCAGCCAAGCGCCCACAGTAGGTATCTAGCCAAGCGCCCGTAGTAGTTAACAGGCGAAGCCACCACGTGATGGCCTGGTTGTGCGCATCCGTACCCATAGTCGCTCGCCTGGGCTGGTTACACCACCCCAGGGAAATGTGAGGACCCCTTTTGGAAGGCTTTAATCTTTCTGGGAATCTATGGGAGGGCAATGGCAGAAACAGCTTACTGTAAGTCTTGCTGTTTCAGTTGGATCCCAGCCAGCCTTGTTAAAAAGATAGATGTTTTGCAGGGAATTGAGGCTCAGCAGCCAGTTGGTTGCTGTTTGACTTCACCTTGAACCCTGCCCGCTGGACCCTGACTGAAGGTTTCTGCAATCCAATTTCCCTCCTGGGGACCTGATGCTAGTGGGAGATAGGGTGCCTATCTACTCTTGTTTGCTTCTTTACTTCGCTATTTGCCCTTGACGTTTTGGCCCTTTGACCTCTTTCCCTGAAAGAAGCCTTTTGCCTGCTAAGGATTTGGGATACTGTCCTGCACCATTGTGGCCACTTAAGAAACTTTGAAATGATGATTCGCCTGTAAGTACCAGGAAACCATGGTTTTCCCATGGTTTCTTAGGTGGCGCGGTCTCGGATTCGCAACCATCCACAGTATTTGACCTGTGTTTATTTGACCTTTGTCTAGGTCCCCCCGGGGAGGGTTCCCGACTAAAATAGACTACACAAAAAGGTTGGTACCCTTATTCGAACCTCTCTACTGGAGGACCCAGTTGCTTGCGCCCAGCCCGGGGAGGCCATTTGGAGGTCCGCTTCATCTTCGAGCCAGGGCAGCACTGGGCACGGCTCTCCTCGCGCGGCAAGCACCGGCGCGGGGAGGTTTCGAGCCAGTTCGGATCCCTGCAGCTGCAGCTTGCCTCAGGATGCTCAGGTGCTTGTGGTTGCGCACTCACTTGGCTGTGGGTCAAAACCAATGGTACCATTTTGGGGTAGGTGCACCACCCATTTCAGAACCTATTTTAGGGGGGATTGGGATGTTCACTGGGGGTACGGGATTTTGACCCATGGCCACTTGTCCAAGACCAAGCCTTCAAACTGTTGAACTTGTCTTTGCTGTTTGTCATTCTGTGGTTGCTGGAAAGCTTTGAATGCCCTGGTATTTGAACAGCAAATCTGGGACCGCGTGCTCATGTAAAAGGGAGCCTCAACCAGAAAACAAGGGAACCAACGAGGTTCCGCTGGGCAAGCGGGCCTATTTGACTTGGTCAGAGTAATCTATTAGCAGGGATGTGGGAGGAGCGAATCGGGATGCGGTATATGATGCGGTTCTGTCTTTTTTTCACCTCAAAGCCTCCCTCAAAGAAGAGAGCTTGCCATGTCATGTTTGTGGTGGAGCTTGCTTACTTTATCTACTTTACCTACTTTATCTTGGCCAGTCCCCCAACACACCCGCCAGGAGTTGGACAATTGTGTCTGCTTTGCCTTCTTCAAGAGAAAAACAGCAAAATATCTACACGCCTTTGTACGTGCCTGGTGCTCCCCATCTTCAGTTGGTACCCCTGGTGTAAACACGTTCAACGCACTTTCGGCAACATATGGCCCATGTACATGCAGGTCGCACGCCACAGAAGCGGCAGGCTGATCTTGTACTGCGACCCCGGAGGTTTCCCGAGTTGATCACCAGCGCGTCCATCCAAAAAGTGGGGCCTCCCATTTCGAGCCCTCCAAACTGCAAGCGGCACCCGCATGTGAGATTTGGTTTCCTTGGGCTTGCGGAGATCGGGGGTTTCTGGAGGTCCGCGGCTGATGGGTCCGGTCCGCCTATGTTTGGTTTGGTTTATAGAGCGAGCTTCCGGGGTAACATCCAACCAGCTTCACCAGCTTCACGTGGTGGCCGCCGGCCCCAGGAAATTCGGGAGCTCGACCAGCGAGCCAAGCGAGCGAGTGCGCTTCTACTTCTGCGTCTTGGGCCAAAGTGATCCATTCGACCCGTTGCTTCTGCTGAAGTAGTCGAGTGACCATGTTGCCCCGCTGGTTTGTCATATTCAGATGTTACGTCTTTGTTTTCTTTGGATTGTTTGCTTCAGGACTTCAAACTGTGTGGGAAGATTGTGGTAAGCTTGCGGGGAGGTCATGTTTAGTGGTAAGGAGCGAGTCTGGACTTTGTTTGGCCAATCCACTCTGAAAGTGAGTTCTTCCTGTTTTTGCTTTACGACTTCACTTTTGTCATACGTGTTGGTCTGTGATTTTTGTCACCTGTTTGCTTCCTGTTTCCGCACCCTTTTTGTCATTTGGCTGGGCTCCAACCACAAACAGTTGAACGCAAACTAGGGGTCACGCCTTCTAACGTCCTTTCTGTTCGCTGGGTTGGCCTTTCAAAGTCTACGTGAATCCCAAAAGGTTTGCTTCTGTTTCTACAAGGGTCGCTGGTTTGTCGCTGGCTTTGCCCGGACGAGGAGCCTCCCTGGGTTTAGGCTATGGAAAAGGGTCTTTAGACTTTAAGATTTTGGTTGAAATCAAGGGGGTTTCCACTAAACCCACAAAAAGTTAAACTTTTCGCGGGGGGGTCAACAGAAGCCGAGTATAGTTCATCTTTTCATTTGGGGCCATTGTAGGCCGGGCTGTTGGAAGATAAGTCAAGCCATGCCTCCTGGGAAGCGTTGAATGAAGAGGATGCAACCCCCTCCCCGCCCCCTCGCACCTGGTTTCTGACGATCCTTGAGACTTTGTATCAAAAAAACAGAGGTTTAAGAAGGGGGGGTTGGGAGTTGGGAGGGCTTGGGCTTCCACGATGAACGGCTTTCATATGTTTTTCCTGGCCCTTCGGCTGCATGGAGGGTGTCATGAGGTGTGAAATACTTGCAGATGATCCGTTCTGGAGGGACATGGACGGGCGACTTACCGATCCAAAAAAAACAATCAACTTAATCCTTTTCAAGGGGCGTCCATAGTTTTGGGTTGGGTCTTCCAATTGGAAGCCAAAACCAGGAGCGTTTGGGTAGAGGATGGCTCAAACTCCAACTCGCACTTGTGATGGAAGCCCAATACTGGTTGGTACATGACTCTTACGAACTGCAGGTGGACGTTTGTCCATCCGCAGGTGTTTCTCCCCCGAAATGATGCTCAGATGGTTGGGCCCCCAAAACCCAATGCCTTCACGCCTTTTGGGTTCAGAGGGTTTATATGGCTGTGGCTCAAAAATCCGGTACCAAAATGGTGCCCTGGAAAGTGGAAACATGGGGACCCCTTAACCAGCGGTTTGCCCCGCCCGTTTAATTTTGAGCCACATATCAGATGGTTGGGCCCGTAAAACCCAAGGCCTTCAGGCCTTCAGTCCTGGTCAAGAGGGTTTATATCCGAGCGAGGCGTTTCTCTTTCAGGCGTTGGTAAGTTCACTCTGGGCCCCTTCGGCGCCTCAAGCTGCGCCTCAGAGAAGTGTGCGCCTCGGCGATGGATGGCTTGAGCTTCAGTTGCCACACTGCTGAACTTTAAGAAGGTGAGAAAATCCCCGGCCCCTGATCTTGGTGGCTGCCATCCGGTTCCTGAGCTTTTTTTAGGTTTTTCGGTGTTTAGTGGTAGTTTCCATCCAACCCACTAAAAGTTAGTCACTTTGAGCGGGGGATCTGAGGGGGAGGGGGGGTGACCTCTGGAATTCGATGTATGGTGCCATTTCCCACCTTTTCTAGACCAATGGAATTGGGGACCCCCTTCCCATTTCTCCGTGGAGGTCAGAAACAGAGTAAGGCAATCTACGACTAAGCTCGTCACTTGGATGATCATTTTCTCGAGGCGCGTGTAGAAGTTCGTGCTTGGGCTCCATGCGGGGATTTTCCAAGAAGCTGCTCCAAGGAAACATGGTTTTGGAAGAGAACGCAGGGTATCAGGCGAACCACCGCCCTGAAGCAAGGAATCGGACCCCCCCCAAAAAAAAAGAGAGACGATGTTAGTGTGGCCTTCAAATCCTGCCAAACCAGGCGGGGCAGTTCAAAGGCAATCCTGAATCCTTATTTTGGGTTAGGATTGGCCAACACTCCACTTTGAACAGGCCAGCAGGGAGTGCATATTAGCCCGAGTCTCGTGACCGACCCCCCATGGCAAATTGGAATGACTTTCTCGTTGGTCCCTTGAACACAAGCCCAATGTTTACTCTTTCAGAACAACTCTGCACCATTACTGGGTTGTGTTATAGGAAATTGTACAGGAAAGCAGCTTGTTTAATCCTGTAAGTTAACCCTTTGACACAAGCTGCCTCATGTCCTTCTTGGAGTGGGTTTAAACCTCGCTTTACTCCTATCACCCCTTTTAGCACCCAACCCTTGTAGCAAAACCGAATCAAGCAAGCAACCAACAGGATCTGATTTAACAATCAGGAATCAACGAAAGCTAGAGGAAATCTTGTAGGAATCCAAGTAACTCCAATGCTTTGCTCGTGCTTTTCGCGTTTCTCGGGCTGGGTCTCAGGCACGAAGGCTTTGTTTAAGGCACCTTTGCTTGTGGAGCTTCCCGAACTTCAGGAGCTGCCGGAGGATTGGGGGAGGATGGTCAGGGACGGGGTTCTGCACGTCAGCGCTGAGCTGAGATGAAAATCGCGGAAGGCTCGCCGAAGTGAGCCTTCGGCGCCTTTTGCGCTCGGCTCGCTCCGGCGGGGAACCATTATTGTTGATGAAAGCTCTTGAGTACTTCCATGGATGGCCGGCAACTGCTTGGACCCTCAAGCTCATGTTGACCCCATATTAATCAGGGGATGTCCCTAAGAACAGCCAGAAACAAGACAATCTCAACAAACAAGCTGAGCCTGATGACCCCAATCCCCTGTTGGTTTCCTCTTGAGAAGCCAAGCAGTATTCCTCAGGGCTTCGGATAGCACAAAGCATTGAAGTTATGAGCAGCTAAACAGCTCACATGTTGCTGTCATCTATGTAAACACCCTGGTTGCCTACTGATACCTGGAGCCTCACAATTCTCTTAGACACGAGAGGTTGCCCCAAACTTCCCTGTTGCTTGTTGGGGGGAAGCCCGCTGGTTCCTTTACGACGCGAGGTAAAGGAGGATGGGCGATGTCAAGGAGTCCAGCCCTTGTTCCAGAGGTTCCCAGAAGCACAAGTCAAGTCAAAAGTCAAGTCAAAAGGCAGATAGCCGGAGGAACCCAGCAAACTTCAGGATGAACACTTTGTCGCCGTACCCATCTCCAAGGAGTTGATTGAAGGAATGTAACATGATGTCGCTGGTCCAGGGTCCGGAGTGAGCATCCCGGACTCGACGAATTCAAGGAAGGATCCCTTTTTGGGGATCGCCGAACACTTCTGGCCCTGCACCTGTTGAGTTGGACTAAAAATCAAATCCTGGCAAGGAGTCATCATTGGCGCAGTTGTTCAGCGGCACCCTTTGTTCCCCTTTTTTGGGGTGGCTGCCCCACTAAAAATGGTCTTCCCTAAAAAAGATTCCTTTTTTTGCCAGGGTCACTGAACAA